ATTCATTTTTCGTTTTTCTTTCTGTAGCTCTGAGGTGATAATGAACATTTAGGGCTTTTCTTGTAAACTCTATAACTTTGCAAAGAAAGGTCGTGTAGAGATGGGAGATGCCTCGTTTTAATCAGAAATTTATGGACTACAATTATGCCTCATTAAGAAAGCTTTTGGTTGTTCTTTAGAGTTTCTCAAAAACTGGTTTTCCAAAAGACCGGTCTCTGAAGGCCTAGCAGCAGCATCCATGGTGATATTTGGGATCAGCATCGTCGACTACCTATAGTCCACTCGGTTTCGTTGAAAAAGCGATTTATCAGTTGGGGTATTTCCCTCGTTAGTAGAGAGAAGAAAAAACGCGTAAGTCGCAGTTTTTTCGATGTAGCCCCATTTAACTTCGATAACAATGTCTTTTTTCAGGCATATCTATGAGAATGCCAACAATATGGACTTCTGCAGCACCATCAATCTCAACAACAACTTTACATAGCTGGAACTACAGCAGCTACAATTCGTCAGGTAAGCAATTTTACTCTTCTCACGTTTGGATCCACACAAATGGAAGAAAAAAGACAGCTTTGTTTCTGCGAAGCTTTGTTTCTAAAGAAGATAGGTAACACCACAGCTGACCACTTTCAGTGCGCACAAGTCGTTTAAACACCACTGACCACCGTTCCTCATCACCTTTATTTTAGTTTGGTTAACAACTAATTCAGCGTTAATTACATTCGAGTTTTTGGCAAATATTACTGATTCCGTAATGATTCCAAACGGCTACTACGGCTTACAATGGTCCAATGTTGGGATTGTCCGGTCGTTTCTATATCCAACCTCTGGCTATACGACAGCCTTGTCAAGTGGACAAGATGTAGCATACAATGCTTATGGAACTCCAATGTCAATTGCTTCTTCGCCATCAAGTCCATTTACAATTAATTCTTTTGTTGCTGCATCAGCCTGGTACGATAACAATACACTAATGATGACTGGTTCACGTGCAGGAAGTTTCCTCTATGGTACAAGTATTACACTGTATGTTAACTCGTCTACATTAATACAATTGAATTGAGTTAATATTGATAATATTACATTTTCAACGAGCAATTTCCACTTTGCAATGGATAATTTATGCCTTAACAGCATGTATAAGTATGTCGGTTCACAGAAATTGGTCTGTGGTGGATAAATGTTCGTTTTAATTTTAGCATTTCTGTTATATTTTGGAGTAACAATACATCGACTTCTTCTTCAACACCATCAGCCCCAGTTTCCACCGGTGGTCCACAGTTAGTTAGTGATGTATGAAGATTAAACCATTTTTCTTTCTTTTCTAGCTACTTCTACAACTATACAAATGACATCGCAGAGTAGGTGTACAGAGGTAGAACTTACCTATTTTCGATGTAACATATAGAGACTCACTTTTAGGTGTTCAACAGTCTAATGGTAGTCTTCCATCCCAATGTACGAACTATGTAACGAACAATGACTCCACACGTTTAACATCATACAATGCATCCAGTGCTTGTGATAATTTAATTTTCAATCAGTTGACATATGTTCATTTCATTGCACCTAGTGGTACGCAAATCCCTACATCATCGCCAGGGCCACACTACTGCGGTACAGATGCTCCAGGTTGGATAAGCACACCATATCCTACAACAGTCGGTCAAACAGTTAGTGCTACAGTTTGCTATGATTGGAATAGTAATTCATGTCTTTGGCAAAATCAAATAACAATCATAAATTGTGACACATATTATGTTTTTGGTTTAATATTGCCAGTCTACTGTCAGCTACGCTATTGTACCACCAATGTACCAGTGACTGGAAATCAAACCACAATAACAACAACAGGTAGAGATGAAGAATTACTAAGGGAGGCGTATTGATTTATTGTTGCTCTAAAATGAGAGACCGAATAAAATGGTTTAGCGAGCAAGGCAGTACACTTTGAAGTAGCACACAGACACAGTTAAGAAAAAGTACTGGAAAGATGCAGCAACACTAGTCGGCCACTGCTAAAACTACTCATCGATGTATCTCTTGTAATTCTAGTGGCAATGACACCTTTCTCATATTCAATCTATAACAATACGGCTATAGGAAGTGTTGTTTATTCACAACATTTTACGTATTACACGACACCAACATCGCAGTGTACTGCATGGACTTCATTCACTTCACAACTGCTTCCATCTTTAAATTACACATCCTTGACAATTAGCGGTACGAATGATCCAACGGGCATCAGTCTCGCTGACCCAGTAGCTGTTGCAAACATAGCTAACGCACTGTATCAAAACACAGGTTATAGTATAACAGTAAATGGATATCCATGGTCTGTTGGTATATGTGGAAGTGGAATCGAGTTAACCTGGAATGCAGTAATTTGTACATGTACTAATACACTCAGTTATTCACTACGTCCCTGTATTGGAAATTATAATTGGGGAGGAGTTAATACAATATCTTGTTTGGCAGCTGATCAAACAATGACTGTTACATTTCAGTACGGAAGTGTTAGAAGTGAGCATTGAAAAACGCATTAAATTTTTTTTCTTATCGCATTAAGTCCGAGGCTCTAAAATATGTGAGCGAACTTCATTGCCCGCTTCTAAAGTTCTAGTAAATACTACTAATAAATCTGTGTACGCCTTTTAGAAGCTCGATGAGACTAGTATGACTATGATTAATGTTTTCAGTTGTAACAACCCCGGTGACAACAACCATCCCTGCGACCACAGCCTCGGTTAATCAAAGTAAGCATTAATTCATTAGAAAAGTTTCCTTCACTTTAAGGACCAATTTCTAAGTAACCATGCAAAACATCGACTACATGATTCAGTGACAGATGATTGTGCTAGAGGAATGCACTAGCGGAGTATTCTGCAACAGTAGACAACGTCGGTAGCAGATAAATGCTACTAGTTATTCATTTTAAAACCTTGGTTCGAGCTGTAGAGATACTTGGGGAAACGTTGCAATTTTGTTAGTCATACGCACTAATAATTTATCTGGATCATAGGCTAGCGTTTTCCATCGATGACATCCGAGAAAAGAGATTATGTCCCATGCAAAATCGGCGATTTTACTAGGACGTCATAGTGAATATTCTCTCAATAGATTCGTCAAGATCGGCTAAAGTTTTCTTTTAGAAAGTAAATAAAAAACTCTTTTTCTCCGTCATCCATTAACATATTGAGGTCATATATCTTTATTTATTTCTCAGGCTGTCTCTCAAACAATTCAATCTTAATTACATTTGATGATATCACCGACACTTCCGCCTATGCAGTTCCATCTAATTATTTCGGTTTATACTGGTTCAATGTTGATATAATTGACATATCACAATCTCCATTCAACACAAGTCTTTATCAGTCGTTTGGTTTTATAACAGCACTACGTAGCGGACGTTATGTAGCATTTAGTATAAGTACTGCAATGTCGATTGGTACATTCAATTCAATTACAACTTTTACAATTAATTCTTTTGTTGCTGCATCTATTTACAACGATAATAATCCATTGACAATGACTGCTTATCGCTTAGGCGTACTTCTTTACAATCAAACTATTGTGCTAGCTGAACATGTAGCAACGTTGGTCGTTGGTACAATTAAATTGGCAAAATATCGATAATATTACATTTACGGAAGCCTATGGTAACTATTGGACCATGGATAATTTATGTATTCAGATTTCAAAGTAGGTGTCTTTGGTGCAGTAAATCTTCTGTAAGGGACTATACTCTTTGCATTTTCTTTTTTTAGCAATTCTGAATCTATGTCGTTCAGTTCAACTTCAACTAGTTTCGGTAAGGCTACGATCATTTATTTAGTTTGAACTTCTTTCTCGAATCAATAAGACTAATTGCCATCTTCCATAGTTAGTGGCGTATTGTAACAGGCGACGTTTTTGTCTCTATTACTTATTGTGCACTATGTCAAAAATAATCGTTTTGCATATTATAGTCTCACCAATAACCGTCGTCCCATTAATCACACCTTATGTCAATCAAAGTAAGTTCTAACGAGAACCAGTAAATTATTCTTATTCTCTAAGTGTGTGTGACACGTTTGAATTGGAAAGCCTGGAGAGATAAAATCATGAACTCGTTTTCTGACTTGACGTTTTTTTATAGGTAATGTGATAACACCTGCAATGTCGAACTGCTCAAATATCAATACAACAACGGTTGCACTAAGCGGTATGTAAATTGCGTTTGCAGTTTCAATATTTAAAATAGGCTAAATACGACATTTTATTTATTTTAAAGCACTCAATGCAACTACAGAGCAACAAATCTACTATCTCTACAATCCATCCTCTCCAGCACCATTATTCTTTCAAGTTAGTGTACTGTACATTGCACAAGGTATGAATGAAACACTGACATTTGGTATTCGAAATGATCCGAGTGTAACATATTTGGATAATATCTCCGTATTGAGTGGTGGACAGGAACTTCTTACGAATGGAAATTTCGAATACGAAAATCAACTTGGATGGTCTGGTGCATCACATCTAGTTAGCGGCTCTGGGATTTGTTACTCATATTGTTATGCAGATGGAATAGTCGGCAGGTTAGACTATGTTAGTCAAACATTTCAGACAACACCAGGATCGTTGCTTCATGTCAGCTTCTATATCAGATGGGGAGGAAGTGGTTCGGGAGTTATTGCTAATGTAACAATATATCCCTGAATAATGAACGATACTTTTTTATCTGTTTGGTGTCTGTTCTCTCTCATTTCTTATTATTTTAAACAAGTGGTTTTTTATTCTCTTACAACTTTTAATCTTGAATTTTATCTATTATTGTAAATCTGTTCCATTATTTTTATTCTCTACTACTCACTTTCTTCTAATTCTTTTGGGTCTTTCTCTCTCTTTCTCTCTTTGAGAAAAAAAATATGTTTTTAATGGTTTTTGAAACTGAAACATTTTGAAAAACAACGGCAAGGTGAAACAAAGAGATGGTAATGAACGAGTATTTACCAGCAGTAGATGGTTTAAACTACCGCTTCGACCTTGCTTAAAGGCCTCTTTAGACGGCTGTTTCACATCTATGATGTTTTTCACTTACATGTTGTGTATTTTTTATATCTTATTGAATATACTGAAAAGAGTAAATGCACTGTACATGAGAGTGAGTGTGAAGAGAATGTTGCATATGTTTTGAAGAAAAAGAACCGAAAAGAACAGGTATGACGGCATGTGTATAGATTATTCATTATGAAAAGAAAAACTTGAACGAATTTTGATCGCAAACAAAATATATTTTAATACTAAAGCAGCCTTAGAGATTAGAGAATTGAATGAGAACGGAGTCGAACGAGAATGGAGATCTTCCGAGAGTTTGAACGCTATTATTGCAAATCTGTTCCATTATTTTTATTCTCTACTACTCACTAACCTTTATTCTTTTGGGCCTTTCTCTCTCTCCGAGAGAGAGTCTCTGTAAATGGTAATAAAAGTTGGTTGAGAGAGTCCCTCAAAACGAAGTCTTCGGTTTCCGAAGCGAACGAGTGAACGATGATAGTTGATCGGTATAATAGAATACAGGAGGTTTCTTCTTCTTGTAGACAATAAACTATATCTCTGACACGTTTCGGTCTTAATACCTTTTCAAAGTATATTTGTCTGTAAATCTACAAAGAAGAAAAAGAGAGACCAAGTAAAATTAAAAATTAAAACAAAGCGTTTCTATACGATGTTTTTTAGCTAAGAAAGGGCTAAATTGTTTTTGTGTATGAAAAAGAGAAAATAATAATAATTCATGCTATTCACGGATTCTTCCTGAATATAAATTTAGTTTCACTAAAAAGTACTAATCTTAATGATGAAATCGATCAACTATTGATGGTTGTAGCGCTGTTGGTTTTATCATTGCTTAAGAATTTCCCTAGTTTTCATGTATTTCGATTATATCTTAGCTTATAACCTCAATTCCAATTAAATTTTATTTTGCCTTAAGATATGCGTTTTTAGGAGTTGTTTGACTATTCTAGAAGTTTGTTGAAAAACTGACCAAAAAGAATGTTGAGAACCTGTTAATAGTTAAGTGTCTACTTTAAAACAGCGTTTTGGATCTGATCATGACATATGTACACAGAAAATTAGCTGATATACTTTAGAACGCGAAGATAGTTATTTGTCTTCTTTGTGTTTTTGACCGAAATGAAAAAATTTGTTTTTGCAGTCAAAATTTTTGCCTTTTTAAATGGAATTAATTTAGAGTACATCTTGAAGAGGCTTTTTTCAAGACATCCAGCTGAAAGACTAAATTCGAGCGACGTCCTCCGTATTTCCAGAATCTAAGCACTGTACCACCCGTTTAGTTTAAAAGAACTTATATCCACGATAAGAAAGTACATAGTTAACAGTGGAAAACGGCGTTCTTTAATACTATTAGATGAGAGCGCTAGAGAACAAATTTAAATCTTTATTTAGAAATGGTTAGAATTCTCGACATTTTGGAGTCTGTAAAGCTTTTTTCTCACTTTTGCGGTTTTACACTGCTTCACCTAACTAACTCGAAGAGAGTATCTGCATTAAATATAATATCTTATTATTGCGTCGGCCGTAAATGCAAGCGGCCTGGCCATATAAACTGTGCAGATAAACACAACTGCTGAATTTTGCCACAAAGCGCAGACTTTTAGCTAACTTTCAAAAATAGTAATTTTATCGTTCAACCAAAGAAGCATCTAAATTATGATTTTGCACCCGATTGTGCCTAGACGAGTAGGCGTAGCAGTTCACCGCTGATAACGTCAAACGCCGTTCACTCAAAACCAACTTGTCGAAAGACCGAAATTGACTGATTTGACAGATACCATTTCAGAATATAAAGTCGCCCTTCGAACCAGAACAGTACAGTAAAACATGAAAAACTATTATGAAGAGAAGAGATTACTTTTAACTGTTAATTTCTTGCTAGAAAGATTTCAGAATCAACGGCTATTTGATCGGTTGAAGTTACTTCATTTAAATCAGAAATTCAACAATTCACGGTGAGATGGTACGTGTCAGTTCAGTCTTGGACAGGCAATTTCGGTCTTTCGATAAGTTGATTTTGAGTGAACGTCAATTGATATTGTCACCGTCAACTGCTACACTACATGTCTAGTTGTACCTACTTAAGGGTACCTCCCCCCTCTTTTTTCACCTTGTTGCCAAATGCGGAGTACATGTCCGATTGAGCTCAAATTTATAGCAGAGATAGAACATCGAAAAAGAAAATCGATGTATTTTTGCCCAGAATTTTCTGACATGTTCTTCTATGGATTTTCTAGAAAACTCTGGTTTTCATCCAGTAACATTACGACCCCTCGAAAAAATGATCCGATCGAGCTCAAATTTTTACCACAGATACTTTAGGCTCTATCTCAGGTTCGTTTTTTTTCTTTTTGAAAAATATGCTTTTCTTCTCCAGATA